GCAATTGTGGCCCCGCCCTACACCCGGGGGTCATGATTTGAACAAACTTGAATTTACACTACCTGAGGATGCTTCCATATAAATATGACCAATCATGGCTTTGTTATTCTTCAGAAGAAGATTTTTAAAGAATTTTCCTATATATTTCTATGTAAAACTTTGGTTGGCCATTGTGGCCCCGCCCTACACCCGGGGGTCATGATTTGAACAAACTTGAATCTACACTACCTGAGGATGCTTCCATATAAATATGAGCAATCATGGCTTTGTTATTCTTCAGAAGAAGATTTTTAAAGAATTTTCCTATATATTTCTATGTAAAACTTTGGTTGGCAATTGTGGCCCCGCCCTACACCCGGGGGTCATGATTTGAACAATTTTGAATTTACACTACCTGAGGCTGCTTTCATTTAAATATGACCAATCATGGCTTTGTTATTCTTCAGAAGAAGATTTTTAAAGAATTTTCCTATATATTTCTATGTAAAACTTTGGTTGGCCATTGTGGCCCCGCCCTACACCCGGGGGTCATGATTTGAACAAATTTGAATCTACACTACCTGAGGATGCTTTCATATAAATATGATCAATCATGGCTTTGTTATTCTTGAGAAGAAGATTTTTAAAGAATTTTCCTATGTAATTCTATGTAAAACTTTGATCGGCCATTGTGGCCCCGCCCTACACCCGGGGGTCATGATTTGAACAAACTTGAATCTACACTACCTGAGGATGATTCCACATGAGTTTCATCTTTCCTGGCCCAGTGGTTCTTCAGAAGAAGATTTTTTAACAAGAGGCCCATGGGCTTTATAGGTCACCTGAGCATCATGCAACAACTTTCAAATGATTGAATTTGGTTCATGTTTTTAGCTAGATGCTATGGCATTCATAATTTTGAAAGAGGCACCATTGCTAATCATAACTATACACTTAGCAAATATTTAGTTTGTTTACTTAATACCCATAAGCAGGGTAAGGGAACAAAAATGCATGTTAACTAATCAGTAATATTCAGCAATAATTGTGAGTGCCCCTACCACAAATGAACCCCTGACCCTAGGTCTACACATTGCACAATTTTTTAAATGCACACTTGCTTATCAAAAATGTTTGATTAATACCAAGGAGCAGATTTCAAACAATTCATTTTTAGTATATTAGTAGAGCCACCCCCCCCCCCCCCTCTTTGGTATCCCTGACCCAGGGGCCTTGAAATTCACAATTCTGGAAGAAAAGCCCTTGCACATCATAACCATATAAATAGTTCATCTGCTTATTACTCAGGAGTAGAGAAAAAGATTTTTATAGATGTAATGTACTTTCACTATATAATCATTATAGAGCCACACCCTAACACCATAACCCCTGACCCTGGGGTCATAAAATTCACAATTTTGGTAGAAGCATTCTTGCTCATCATAACTATGTCCTTAATTAGTTTATTTAATACCCAGAAGCAGAGAAGAAGCTTTTCAAAGAATAAATGCATTTTCACTATATAATCAATAGAGCCCCGCCTTAACACCAGAACCCCTGACCCTGGGGCCATAAAATTCAGAATTTTGGAAGAGGCACTCTTGCTCATCATAACTATATACTTAGTTAGTTTATTTAATACCTAGAAGCAGAGAAGAAGATTTTCAAAGATTTAATGCATTTTCACTATATAATCAATAGAGCCCCACCCTAACACCAGAATTCCTGACCCAGGGGCCATAAAATTTACAATTTTTGTAGAGACACTCTCGCTTATCATAACTATGTACTTTATTAGTTTATTTAATATTCAGGAACAGAGAAGAAGATTTTCAAAGAAATAATGCATTTTCACTATATATTCAATAGAGCCCCGCCTTAACATCAGAACCACTGACCCTGGGGCCATGAATTTCACAATTTTGGTAGAGGCACTCTTGCTGATCATAACTATGAACTTAATTAGTTTATTTAATACCCAGGAGCAGAGAAGCATACCCAGGAGCAGAGAAGAAGATTTTCAAAGAATTAATGCATTTTCACTATATAATCAATAGAGCCCAGCCCTAACACCAGAACCCCTGACCCTGGGGCCATGAATTTCACAATTTTGGTAGAGGACTCAATGCTGATTACAATCATACCAGCAGTTTGACTGCTTGATGTCCAGGAGTAAAGAAGAAGATTTTTAAAGATTGCACTAATTTTAGTGGTTTTTGCCCCACCCCCCAGGCCCCAGGGGGCAGGGACCATGAAATTTAATATTTTTGTTCCCCTTCACCCACAGATGCTATATTCCAAATTTGATTGAAATTGGTTCAGCGGTTTCAGAGAAGAAGCTGAAAATGTTTAAATGTTAACGCACGACGCACGACGGACGACGGACGAAAACAGATAGCAATAGGTCACCTGAGTTTACTCAAGTGACCTAAAAATGCCATTATTTTTTCACTAATTCATAATTATCTCCCCTTGGAAGAGGGCATGGCCCTTCATTTGAACAAACTTGAATCCCCTTCACCTAAGGATACTTTGTGGCAAGTTTGGTTGAAATTGGCCCAGTGGTTCTTGAGAAGAAGATGAAAATGTGAAAAGTTTACAGACAGACGGACAGACAGACAGACAGACAGACAGACAGACAGACAGACGTTCAGACGGACACCTGACAAAATGTGATCAGAAAAGCTCACTTGAGCTTTCAGCTCAGGTGAGCTAAAAACTGAATAAGCATTTGGGTTTGCCCTAGCCATCACACTGTCAACATATTACCTAAGATGCAAAACTAGCAGAGGAAGATTAAATTATATCATTACCTTCAAGACAGTTTGGTCAGAATCATAAACATTTATTGACAATTTTCAAAGGGCAGCTTGCATTTTGTTGGACCCAGGAACCTAATCCGAGATTCCTCTGACTCTTACCTCTGCTTTTTATATTGTGATGTGTGCAGGAGAGAGTCAGAGTGGAGGCCAAATTGAAAAGTGAGAATTCAGCAACACCAGCTAGTGTCGCGACCCTGTCTACCTTTCACTACTTTATTTCGTGGATCTAAACCCCAGGATGTGAGAAATCAGTAAAGGGATGATTCTTCTACAACTTTATCCTCATTAAAAGGATGCTATAGCCATTTAAATGGCCCTACCACTGACAAATGAAGCATCACTTGAAATAAGTCGCATTCTCGCCATTCCATTTCTTTGTGCATGACGTCAGCACACAAATACACAAACAAACTATCACTTGAAAAATTCACATGTGTTGTTACTGCTGATTTTCCCCTACATATTAGCATAGAAGTCGTTTTTGACAGTTGCTTTCCTTATCAATAAATAAATGAAACATTATTATGTTGTTTTATGTACTTTCTCACAACACTTTCATGTTTTTACAAAAGGTCCACACATGTTTTGAGCATGTGTTACTTTACAACAGATTGGAATTTTGTGTATTTGTGTGCTGACGTCATGCGCAAAGAAATGGAATGGTGAGGAGTGACCTAATTCAAGTGATGCTCCATTTGTTGGTGACAGGGCCGATTAAAAAGCAATCACAGGTACTTGTGGACAGGACCCCCCCCCCGATATTCAACCCCGGGGCTTATTTGACATTTTTTCCACAATTTATATTTAGTACACTTATTCAACATGTTTGCAATAGGAACAAATCGTCCAAACCCCCAAATAATCGCTCCACAAAAAATACCCTACTATACATTATAAGAGAGAAAGGTAAGCAACTTCGGTTTGTTTACGTTTAGGTAAACGCAACGGAAGTGCCTATTACCTATTATGATAACACCCGAGAGTGATTATTACGTCAGGCAAAAACTCTCTCGGACGTTATCGTAATAAGTGTAACATTCTCTATGCACTTCCGTTGCGTTTACCTAAGGAAATTTCAACATTCTAACTGGAATGCTGTTTGTGGGATTCTTACGAGATGCAGAGTCAATTCGATAGCATTGACTGAGACAGAAATATATGTAGAGACAGTGTGGACCGACATTTTAGGTGAAAATGAAATAAATACGTTTTTAAACCCAGAAAGACCAGTGGGGGTACAACGTAAACAAACTGAAGTTGCTTACCTTTCTCTCTTATAATGTATAGTAAGGTATTTTTTGTGGAGCGATTATTTGGGGGTTTTGACGATTTGTTCCTATTTCAAACATGTTGAATAAGTGTACTAAGTATAAATTGTGGAAAAAAATGTCAAATAAGCCCCGGGGTTGAATATTGGGGGGGGGGGGGGTCCTGTCCACAAGTACCTGTGAAAGCAATAGCATCCTTTTAGTGAGGATAAAATTGTAGAAGAATAATCCCTTTACTGGTTTCTCATGCCTCAGGGGTTAGATCCGCCAAGGACTTACATACGAATATATATAGGTCCCTGAATCCGAGAAATAAAGTTGTAAAAGGTAAGGCAGAGTCGTGACACCAGCTGGTGTCGCTGTATTCCAACTTCTCAAATTGGCTGCTGCTCTGACTCTCCCCTGCACATGTTACAATATAAAAAGCAGAGGACAGAGTCAGAGGAATCTCGGATTACAAAGAAACATCCAGTTTGGTTTGAGGGGTAGACAAAACACACTTTGCCCGAGAACACAGTCAATCAATGTATGATTTCTCAGTAAAACATTGGAAATGGTAAGACTTTTTGAAATATTGGTTTATAGAGGAATTAAATTTTAAAGGCATGACAAATTTGATTTTTTTTAAAAATGTTAATATCCTTCCTGTTCTAAAATATTTGTTCCGTGGATCTCTCTGTAATCTAACTACAGTATATATATAAAGACATTGAGAAATCATTAAATAATTTAAGGGTTGAATATGTACACGTTTAATAAACACAGATAAAAATACAGATTATAAAGACAAACATGTTTCAAAATTGCATCAAAATCAATATTATGAATCAAGTGAAGCCTTGAAAAAGATTTTAAATTTTAAACATTTTCCAGAAAGGCGTGTCCATTTGAACATACTATAAGTTGTTATCATTTCACTTACCATGCTTACTTTAAACAAAGTGTCGCTGATTACAAAAGCATCATATGCTAAAATTTGGTCCCTGTGTAACCCAAGTTGACTCGACAGGAAATTTTGCTTTCAGATTCGAACTGAACGCCGATCCCGACTCAAAAAGAAAATATTGCTTGCAGCTTAGAAAAACTTTCCACTTTTTCAAAACCTATGCAGTCTAGAAAACGTTCTTAAATATTTTATTTTTTTTCAATTTGTTAAACTAATGACTTGTAGAATTAATGATAGTGACAATAAGTCAGTGTTCCGAACATACTTGTATATTGATTACATAACAGATATTGCAATGCGCAATCATCATCTAACATTTAAAATCTTCATAATCTTGAACTGTTAATTGGCCGAGAGATTAATATTTCACTGTTATTTATGTCTCTGGGTAAGCTCCCTCGACAATCTTTTGAATGAAAATAGAAAAGCTTTACCAACCGTTTAATTATTCTTTAAAATATAATAACTGGTGTAATCTTCAAACAGCTTTTGAAATTTTACGTTCTGATACATTTTACTTTCTAAGATAAAACGTAAGAGCCCTTGTTTATTTCAGAATATTATTGTAAAATTCAATAAATAATGAAAATAAAAATTATATATTTAATGATATTAATTTAATAGTTTATTAATTTAATCTTCCAGATTCATCATATGCCAATAATTAGGACTGGGGTAAACGATTTCACATTCAAGATATGTTACCGATTTCACATTCAAGATATGTTACCATAATCATGCTTTATAACCATGTAATACGTAAATCGGTTTCAGAACTTTACAGATCGGGTATAAATTTAGTAGACTTTTTTTCCATTGGGTGCACACCGTGGCTTGCAATTGTTGCGTTGTTTTACATCGAATTCCTTCATGTTCAATACTCAACAGTAGACTCTGATGATTCCACTTTTATAATAATTCTTTTTTTTCCCTAGATATTAAATTAATTTATTGAATAAATAAATAAATGGTTTCAGAATAATTAATTTCATATAACGAAATGTGTTTTTGAAACAGTCAGAAACACAGAAGTCCCCGTATGGCAGTTTATGGCGAGACCGGTTGAATTTTCTCAATTGCAACTCAAATTCCAAATACCATGGTCAAAAGGTTGTAATCGCTGTACCCAAAGGAAGGTCTTGGCACAAGGAATACGTCTGTGAAATATGAAAGCCATAGCCCCAACCCATCAAAAAATCGGAGCAAGGTTATTTTTGGTGAACAGACAGACAGACGGATAGGATAAAAAGTATATATACCTCCGAATCTTCGATTACGGGGCATAAGAATGAAAAAAAATTATGTACAAAAAGGTCTTCTTAAGAACATATATATAACTCGATCGGTTCTTCTGCTGTTAGCAAGCTGACTAGACAAAGCGTGAATGAACTGACTTTGAACCTATTAAACGAAGTCTGACATGTATTTTGATCATGTTGACCATCTAGGATAATACAAATTCAAAAAATGAAAGATATTTCAAATAGTAATGAAGAGCCCCAACCAGTAATAATCTCGTTAGGGACTGACCCATTGTTGGCAATTACCCGAGGGCGCTCTCGAACTTATTGTCCGTTTTTACTACAATATACAAAATCGGTAGAATGGGTGAATAATACCATGAGAGAAAAAAAAACTGCCTCTTTGAAAAGAGACTTTTAAAAATGCAGTCCATTAAAATTGCCCCGACGAAAATAGGTGAATAGTAATCTGAAACTGATAAAGTTAAAAATAAAATTACAAAAGTTTTATGACCTCTTAAAACGTACGTTGGTCGCTGATTTGATATGTTGCAAATTGACAAGAGGTGCATGGTCATTTTTGATATATAGAATTGTCGCCTCGCAGGAAAGTCTCATTTGGGACCTTCCTTCGACCCTTCTTTCATTTTCAATGCATCTTCAAAAACATTTTCATAACTATAACAGTAATAAAATGCAGAACCTCTATTTAAATTTGTTTTATTAATATATATATGGTAAAAAAAGGAAAGAAAGAAAGAAGATAACGAATAATTTAAAAGGAACAAAAATACAATCTAAACAGGCAATAAACAACAAGAATTACATATGTGAAGCTTGAAAGCCCTAGCTCTTACCATTCAAAAGTTATGGTCAAGGTTAAAGTTATTTCGTAAGTACGGAAATGGTCAAGGTCAAAAGGTCAAAATTGTTGGTGCCAAAAGAAAGGTCTTTTCACAAAAAATTGATGTTTGAAATATGATATTCCTAGTATCTACCGTTTAAAAATTAGGTCAAAGTAAAAAATTGGATTTTTTGTGTAAAAATCGAAACTCCAAGGTCAAGGTCAAAGGGTCAGGGTTCTTGATATCCAATGAAAGGTCTTGTCACAAGGATTAAATATGTGAAGTATGAAAGCACTAACCCTTAGCGTTCAAAGTTATGGCAAAGGTTAAAGTTTTTTCATAAGTACGGAACTCTCCAAGTGTGATATTATGAAATCTATTTCTATATGTATTTATTCGTTTTTATGCGCCCGGATCGATAGATCCGGGACGTATATTGTTTTTGTCCTGTCTGTCTGTTTGTTTGTTTGTTTGTCTGCAAACTTTTACCTTCGCCATAATTTTTGAACCATGAAAGATGCAACTTTATAAACATTTTCATAACTAAAAAGTTCTTTCAAATGACACCAAGGTCAATGACCTTGTGACTTTGACTGTGACCTATATGCTAAACACAGCTTTTTTTCTGCAAACTTAACCTTCACCATAACTTTTGAAACATGAAAGATATAAACTTCATATTTGTAAACAGGCCACAAAGCTAATCAAGTTCTTTCAAATGACACCAAATGCAAGGTCAATGACCTTGTGACCTTGACTGTCACCTATATGCTAAAAATAGCTTTTTCGAATTTTGTTGCTGCCAAGTGCATAGTGTTTCACAAACACATCTTGTTATTTATTTTTTCGTATCGTTTTGAGATATAAAATCTTAAAATTTGATTAACCAAAAGTTGTATTGCACATCTGAATTGAGTTGCCTGAGTAAAGTTTTATTCTATGATTTCATTGGTTTTTTAATTTGGTTATTTCCTATTTTTTCATCCCATAATACATTTTCATTATAAGTATAAATTTGCCGCGCTAGAGCAGTATTACGTTTTCAAGAAAGAAGTTATATTTATAATCCAGTGTCCATCATATGCATCTTATGATCAATCCTTTATTTCCTCAATAAATGATGAAAACATAACATCTGCCTTACTGCTTGGTTACACAAGGTCAAGGTCAAAGAGTCAAAGTTGTTGGTATATAATGAAAAGTCTTGCCCCAAACAATACTACATGATGTATAAAAGTACTGTTATCTACTGTTCAAAAGATATGGCCAAAGTAAATGTTTGCCTTTTTCACAAAAATTCAGTCTGTCTGTCTTTAAAATTTGTCTAGTCTGATTGTCTCTCTTAATAAAGAAATTTATTATTTCAGCAAAAACTTTAAGTTTGCTATAACGTTTGATTTATTGGAGCTATGACTTTTATATTTCACATGTGTATTTCTCGTGACAAGAATTTTTTTTGTGTAAAACCAAATTTGACCTTTTGACCTTGGAGTTTGACCCACTTTTAAACACAAATTTTAAACTTTTACTTTGGCCATATCTTTTGAACAGTAGATACCAGGACATTTATACTTCACATATGTATTTTTTGTTGAAAGACCTTTCATTGGATACCAACGATATTTTTTGACCTTGAACAAAGATTTATAAAATTGTGAAAAAACTTTAACCTTGGCCATAACTTTTAAAAGGTAAGGAATAGATCTCATACTATATAAATGCAATCCTTGTGAAAAGACCCTTCACTGGATACCAAGAACTTTGACCCTTTGACCTTGACCTTGGAGTTTGACCTACTTTAAAAAAGCAAACCTTGACTATAACTTTTAAAGGGTTAGCGCTAGTGCCTTCATACTTTATATATTTAATCCTTGTGAAAAGACCTTTCATTTGATAGCAAGACCTTTGACCCTTTGACCTTGGAGTTAGACCTTCTTTTTAAAATTCTTAACCTTTGGCATAACATCTGAACGGTTAGGGCTAGGGCTTTCATACTTCACATATGTATTTTTTGTGACAAGACCTTTCATTGGATACCAATGACCTTGAAGATTTCCGTACTATTGAAAAAACTTTAACCTTGGGCCTACTTTCATATTTCACAATTGTATTTCCAGTGAAAATACCCTACTTTTGGTACCAATATATTAAATTCACCTTCATGTAAAGTTTAATCTTTGCTATGTTGCCATACAGGGGCATCAGTGTTTCACAAACAAATCTTGTTCTTGAAGAAAATCTTTAAAAAAGTTAAACTGAACATGTAGAAAATGTTATTTGTGATGTATGAATTTTTGAACATATTTTTGCCATTCTAATAGTGGTCTTCCAAAGGCCATTAGCCATTGTGATATAAAAATCATTACCAAAGTACACAGGGTCAGTTATTGCTTGAAAGTGAAAGTGTTACACACCGACTGAATGTAATGCTATCTTTTTTTATGCCCCTGTAAACGAAGTTTCGGGGTATATAGTTTTTGTCGTGTCCATCCGTCTGTCTGTTTGTCCGCAAAAACTTGAACCTTGCCCATAGCTTTTAAATTAGTGGAGCCTTGACTTTCATATTTCGTATGTGTACTCCTCGTGACAAGACCTTTCTTTGTGTAAATCCAAATTTGACATTTTGACTTTGACCTTGGAGTTTGACCCACTTTAACAAAAAAAATCCAAACTTTTATTTTAGCCATATTTTTTGAAAAGTAGATATCAGGACTTTTCTTCTTCATATGTGTATTGTTTGTGGCAAGACCTTTCATTATACTAGTATACCAACAACTTTGACCCTTTGACCTTGGAGATCTCCGTACTTATAAAAAAAAACTTTAACCTTTGCCATAACTTTTAAACGCTAAGGGCTAGTGCTTTCATACTTCACATATATTGTGAGAAGACCCTTCATTGGATACCAAGAACTTTGACCCTTTGACCTTGGAGTTTGACCTACTTTTAAAAAGCAAACCCTGACCATAACTTTTAAAGGGTT